CCTGTAGCTCCCCCCCACCCCCCAAAGTTCAGTCTTGTTGCAAAGTTCCTGCTTGTGCCAGGAAGCTGTTAGTTTGTTATCCCCAATCATAGTACTCTGGAACAAAGCTTCCCTGAAGACCCTGAGGGGCAATGTTCCAAGCAAGGTCATCATCACTGTCAGATCTTTGAGGCTTGTCCAAGAAATAAGATCTGAGACTGAATTCATGGCTGGGAACCATTCTAGGGTTGGTAAGGTCTTTTGCAGGACTTCTAACTCAGAAGAAGTAAACTACTAAGCTGGTAGGTAAGAGTTCCCAAACAAAAAGCACCACTCCAAATAGTACATAGCCGGTTATCTCCCAGCTGACTCTTCAAATCTGCCGGTACTTGAGTAATTCCGGAGAATACTTTGACTTGGCTTTGAAGATCACCTGCATGAAGTACAAGTTCATGAGCGTGAGCATGAAGGACTGGAGGCACACCGGGAAGCAGTAGAGCAGCCAGAAGACAAAGGGGCTGAGCGAATTGGCCTTCGCTCACGAGGTCCTTGAAGTAGAAGGAAAAGAGGATGGTCCGCAGGGAGGCCCAGAAGAGGTAGACGCTCTGGTAGCTGAGGCGTTTGTGGCGGTAGCGCAACACTAGCCAGAGCTGCACGTAGATGAAGACAGAAGACCAGCGCGTAGAACACGGTGTAGGCGACCGTGAGGCCGAGCTTCACGTAGCGGGGCACAGCAGGAATCAGTGTGGGCTGCAGCGAGTCCTTGCGGACCGGGTCCCATGGTGGGGCCTCCATCCAGTCCGGGGCGCTGCAGCGCTTCCGGGACGCTCCGGCCTCCTCTGGGCTTGAGACCACCGATGCCACCACCCCTGCCACCACCCCTGCAGGGGTCCCTCGGTAGAGTGCCATAGCATCATAGCTCAAGGCAACCTCAAACTCTTGGTTAAACGATTCTCTTGCCTCTGCCTCCCCAGTAGCTGGGACTACAGGCTGCCACAATGCCCGGTTATTTTTTAGAGACGGGGTCTTGCTCTTGCCCAGAGCTCGTCTGCAACCTGTGAGATCAGGCAATCCACTCTCCTTGGCCTCCCAAGTGCTGGGATTACAGGTGTGAGCCACCGCACCCAGCTTTTTTGTGTGTGTGAGAGAGAGTTTCATTTTGTCTTTGTCACCCTTGGTAGAGTGCGGTGGCATCATAGCTCACAGCAATCAAGTAATTTTCTTGCCTCAGCCTCTAGAGTAACTGGGCCCACAGGTGCCCACCACAACACATGGCTATTTTTAGCACAGTGGTCTCACTCTTGCTCAGGCTCTCCAACCTGTGAGCTCAGGGCAATCCACCTGCCGAGGCCTCCCAGAGTGCTAGGATTACAGGTGTGAGCCACCGTGCCCAGCCCTCTATTTCATTTTCTAACTTTATAAATTACAGTTGATACCCACTAACCTGTTTTTCACAACTCACTAATGGTCTTGAGCCACAGTCTGAAACTCATTTTAGGCCCTCTCCCCAACCTTCAGTCACTCCTTTTCAGAGGAGTGATTTGTTTGAATGGAGATTTTAGAAGGCAGTAGGCATGCTCAAACCACCGCCTACCCTCCTGGCCCTGCCCATCTATAAGCACAGGTCAGGGAGGGATCTGGCTCTGTAGGGTCAAGAGATGACATCTTTCTCTCCTTTTGGCTGTCTATTGCATCTTCTCATTTAGTTCTAAACTTGGGAGAAGGAAGTATTATTTATTAACCACTTAGTTTCCAGCTTTTAATAGTTTTAAATGGTACAAGGAGGTTAAGCAAGAGAAGGGCTCAGGCATTCTAATGGACTTATCAACAAGGGGTTTGCTGGTGGCACAGGTGAAAAGTAGTTTCGCTGGATGGGTGGGGCGAGGAATAGGAAATGCAAATTAGTCATAAGTTGGGCTGAAATGGACAAGAGAGAAGGATAGTAACCTGAGAGAGAAGCTGGTTTTCTGAAATGGGAGAGATCTTAGCATATATGTAGGCTGCTAGAAAAGAGCCCTCTGGGGAGGGGGGGACTGATTTTATTCACTTATTTCTAAGTTATTCCCCTTTGTCTACAGGATGGTTTTGAAGTGGCTTACAATAAAAACTCATTATGAAACAAGTGCACGTGTACACTCCAGAGGCATTTGGCATCCTTCTCAAAGATCCCAAAGGGATGTAGCCCAGAGTGTCCTTGATACTGCACCTTTATACTGGCCTTTTTTTCTTCCTGTTCTATCCTCCCTACATCCTTTTGCCTCTGGACATCACACCCTAAACAAGCTACATGCACTGCCCCCTGAATTAATATAGAAGTAAATTTTTCAAAACCATCAGTGCTGTAAGAAATAACATATAGAGGCTTGGGGCCTGTGGCTCAAGCGGCGAAGGCACCAGCCACATACCCCTGAGCTGGCGGGTTCAAATCCAGCCCGGCCCTGCCAAACAACAATGACTGCTGCAACCAAAAAGTAGCCGGGCCTTGTGGGCAGGTGCCTGTAGTCCCAGCTACTTTGGAGGTTGAGGCAGGAGAATCACTTGAGCCCAGGAGTTAGAGGTTGCTGTGAGCTGTGATGCCACAGCACTCTGCTCAGGGCGACAGCTTGAGGCTGTCTCAAAAAAAAAAAAATTAATAACATATAGCTAAAAAGTCAAGATAGTGTAGCAGAAAACTGACACAGACAGAAGACTCCAGGCACCAGTTGGTTAGAGGAAGCAGCTTTATTTCTGTGGCTGGGGGAACTCAGAAGACTAGTGTCTCAAAAACTGAGCCCCCCATCTGAATCTCCTGCCTCACTTTTATCCACTTTTCAGGGCTAGAGTGCATGTGAGGGTTATAAAAATGAGAGAAGGATGACATAATCCAAACGTCCTGGGACTCAAGGGGAAGGTCAGATTCACCTGCGGCCTTGAGACCAGTCGGGGTACCTGCCCTCAAAAGCAACGGAAGCGTAAGGAAGTTACCAAGTTACCATTTAGGCCCGGCACAGGTGAAGGGAGGGACACACAGATAGCAGAGACCTGCAGCCTGTCTAATACACGGTGGCTAGGACAGACCTTTAGCTCCGCTTTTTATTCTCATGCCTCAATAGGAGGAGAGGAGCACAGACAGCAGCCAAAGAAAGGGCAAGGGGAGCAGAATCAGAACAGAACAGGGAGCAGAGCCAGGGGCTCAGAAGAACTAGGAGAATGGGTTTCTTTTCTTTTTTCTTTTCTTTTTTTTTTTTTTTTTTTTT